TATCAAGCTAGATTGCTGATCTACAAACGTTTTTCATTTATTGAAATAAAATTAAGTTTAAAATTTGTAATAAACAGAAGTTTCACATTTGATTACTCTTACTACTTTTCATCATGACAAGCCGCCTTAAAGAATACCGTTCTTGAAGTTATAAAACGAATCTATAATGATTTGACATCAACAAATTTATTAGAAAGACGCTTATTTGCACTTTTACTCCAAAACATGTGCATTCTGGTATCAATATTGTGGAATTGCAACTTTTTTGGCAACTGCAATTTTTTGCGAAGGTTTCTGGCCAATTTTATCCATCATGCCTTATAATCGGGAATCAAGCCGAAACGTACGATTGTAGTCTAGATGAAAAACGCACCTATGGATCTGAGCAACGTGTGCCTGATGCTGCTAAGAACGACAGAATTGCCAAAAGAAAAGAACTGACAGGTCGGCAAGATTTCTTCGAAGAAGAAATACTTTATGGACCAGGCATATCAGAATAATAGTAAGCACAATAATCTTGATGTGCTACGGTTTTAAAACTTTTGATCGAGTTGCCACGTTGCAAACATTTTTAGGGATGTGTGTCTACAGCTGGAATTCTATCAAATTCTCACATTTGTAAAAGTTTCTTGCCGAACACCAAACGAAAACATGATGAAAATTGAAATTTATATTTCAAATGATTGCAGTTATAAATCTTTTTCATGATTTTACTTAATTGTAGTTCAGGTTGTAGCTCTAAACGTAAGTTTTAATAATCTATTTGATTGTGTTGTCTCAGATTATCTACAGAGACGCAAATGCGTCAACCTCAAAACGTGGTTTTTTGTTTCGCAGCTCAGGTTTAAGTTTTATTGTGCCGTTTTAATTTCAATATCTATTAACAAATGGTCATTTACTATGTTATTTAAATGTTAAATGATAGTAAGGAAAAGGTTATAACAATATTCTTGGTCTGCTTTCTTAAAAAATTACGAAAAGATACCGTTGTAAAACATTATCTTTCACATCAGAACACTCCTTTAAGGTAATAATATAAATTATGATACTGCTAGTATAACTTACGATGTCTGAAATACAGATAAAAGTTCAAACATTTCAATATATGTATTTTACTAGCAGTGCTAAACAAAAGTCAATAAAATATTGACGCTGCCAAACCAAAACGGCGTAAAGGACATTTTTCAAGAAATACAAAAAACTTTCAAGTCGTTAAACCTAGGTATCTCTTTAACTGTTGGATGCAGATTTAAAAATCTTGTACAACGTTGTATCTAGGTAAAAAGTGTCCATTTTGGCGTTTATGCCAAATTACTGAGAGCGTGGATGACGAAGATGACGAGGTTGTGTTTTATTTGTATGCTGAAAGTAACAATAAAATATATACTTATTATATACTTATATAAAAAAATTGTTATTTTTGTATTAGGAACATACTTATGGTATTTAAAGCACGAGGTTAAAAAGAAGTCAACACGATGATAGAGGATATGATGTGTATGGTGTACATGGAACAATTTATCTTATTTAGCTTCGAATATAAAAAGGAACTTCATTTTAAATTTGGCATTATATTGATTGAACAATACCAAAATGTAAATTATAATAACTAACTTAATCGAAATTAAATTAAGCCACTACGACTTGCGGCTAATTCAAGATTTTTGTTGTTCATAAAATTTTAGCAGATCCTTTATCTTGAAAAATACCTTTTCTTGTTAACAACCACTGAAGCTAGAAAACTCGCTTATGATGTTGCAGAAAAATATGGTATGAAGGTATGTGGTAGACCTTTAGTGAAGAAAAAAAAAATTGCCGGTAAAAGAATTGCAGAGAGTGCTTTTCTGGAATTTGACCTGTGAATAGGCATATCTTTACTGATGATCAATTTGTACCAGTTGATATTTTGCATCCTTCTGAAATCCTGGTTAAAACTTCTAATAGTGATTGTGATAAAGATAATGCCTTAGATTAAGAGCAGAGATTTTAAGGTTGCTGAAGGTTTCTAAAGGTTTACTTGAGAAGCAAAAAGAAATCCACACGTGAAATCCCATTTACTTCTCGTGGTTCATCAATAGAAAAACAGTGGTACTAACTAGTACAGTGTTATTAATTACTTACAAAAATTAAAGAAAAGATTACCAAATTTTAGTTTCATGGTTTTTTGTTTTGTGCGAAGAAGAATCAAATATGGCAAAATATATAAAATGATGTACACTTGGGTATACGCTATGTATGAAGGACTTACTGCGCAGGTCAAAGTTTATAATAGTTGCAATTGTCCTGTATAATTTTTTTGCTAACATTATACTGTTGTAATTTAGTGCTTGATAAAATTATAAATAATACTCAAAATAAAATGTATACTGTGTGTTGCGCTTTATTTAACCTGCAAGCGGGTGCGCTGTCATAAAATTTATGACAATTTTCGTTTTTATAATATATCTCCGTATATTATGCATTTGAAAGGATTTAACGTTAAAGTATTCATGACGAATATTAATTCATTTATTATTCAAAATATATTGATGTTGTCTTTATGGCAAAAAAAGTTATAAAAGACAAAAAATTTACAAATTAAGTGCAGAATTATATGGCCGTATTTATATTATGGGATGTATTAAGGGATATAATGTATTATAAACTGGTTTTGAGTCTGAGGACGCACGGCTAAACTCAAAACTTTCTAGTTCTAGGTCTAGTGTTAGTTCTAGTTTTACACTAGCACTATCACTAGAACTAACATAATACCTAGAACTAGAATCATTCGGGTTTAGCCGTCTTGAGAGACGTGCGGCTAAATCCGAATGTTTCTAGTTCTAGGTGTAGTGTTAGTTCTACTTTTGCACTAGCACTATCACTAGAACTAACACAATAGCTAGAACTAGAATCATTTGGATTTAGCCGTCTTGAGAGACGCACGGCTAAACCCGAATGTTTCTAGGTCTAGTATTAATCCTAGTTTTAATTGTTATTCAGCGTTTGATTGTGGGATATTTTTATTGAACGAAAAGTAGAGCTAACGCTAGAACCAGAATTAGAAACCTTCGGGTTTAGCCGTGCGTATCTTAAGAGGGAGGAAAACACAAGATTGTCATAAGAACGTCACCTTTTTCCAAGAAAAACTATTCCTCTGCAAAACTACTAAAAACTACCCAATGCCTGTACTATTAAGCTATGTTACATTTTATGTGGGATAGTGCAAGTGCACAGTAGTTTTGTAGCTATGGTTACTGCATTAATATATTGCGACTTATATCAAATTCCCGGTATGTAGTTTGTAAATGTTCTTAGATTTCAAAAATTAATCGATTTCATTTTATGTTTTTAACAATGTTTAATATAAATCAAATATTTTTACTCTAGCCAAATGTGTGTTTAACTGTTTTATTAAAAATAACGTAATACTTATTAATAACGGACCTGATGTCATAAAATTTATGACACGCGCCCGCTCGTGTTATAAAATACTATATTTCTTTAACCTCGAAGGTTAAAGAAATATAGTCATAATAATCGACTCACATCTCCTAAAGCTGGACGGAGAAGAAGAAGACAAAAGAAGGATCATTGCATTTATTTTATATTCACATAAGCGTCATAAGTTTGTGCTTTCGCCAATTGCTGTTCTAAATCACAAGAATAACATTTTGCTTGCTTTCATTATATCATAAATTTTTTATAAAAAAATATTGTAATACAAATGTTAAAACCAACCTTAGAAGTTCTATTAAATTTACTATTACCATATATAAAATCTAAGATATTTCTTAAACACTTTTTTGCCATTAAAATTCCAATCTAAAACCTAACGATAAACGTAGCACGATAATTACAGTAAACTATCTCGATTCTTATAAACATCCTCCAAGGTGTCATATCCATAAAGAGCAGACAACATCAAAGGAGAGTTGAGGTTGTTGACTCGTTTTGAATGCGAGCACGTACTCGTCTACAAGTTGCTCTAGGGACCGCATTGTGCATTCGAAAAATGTGTATATGCAGTACTACTTGCAAAGTCGGGACACTCTTGCGACCCCCCTTCGACAAACTGGATTCATTAATCAAAGAGGGGCGTACGAGAAAGAGCTCAAACGAACCTGAACGCTATGCAATTTTCATATTCAATCAATTAAGTCTTGCTTGAATTAAAATTGTAATATAAACTGAGAAAGTTCTTAGGAAAGTATTGTATATAAATTCAAGCACAAAGACTTTATAATTACTAAAATACTTTTAACTTTTTACTATCTCGTATATAAAGAGAAAGTAATGTAATTGAGTAAAAATTTTGAAATTTGAATTTTCCTGAATCCTGAACATATTAAACACATATGTAACTGTAAAATGTAATAAATTTGTATTTCTATAGGTCTTTATGATTAATCTCATTTATTCTAATTTTGTTTATTTAAGATACCAATTACCTATATAGTTTTCGTTATCTTTTTTAGAATCGTTTTATTGTTACAATAAACAAAACATTACAAAACATTACATTTCATTCTCTATGTAATTCCGTGTAATTGAAACATATTTCAAGCGGTGGTTGGTAATTTGGAACAGGATATAAATTAGATGCCGAACAAACGCTGTTATACGTGTACTGGTAACTAAAATTACAATACAATTGTTCATTTGCTTTGTTCCAATTTACAGGCTTAGATCTAATTGTTAAATAGCCGTTGTGAATTGTTACGACTCTTCAGGAATTAAACAATTATCTCTAGTAGAAATAAAAATAAAATGGAACCATTAAACCTGGAATGTTGTAATATATGTGCTCATAAAAGATAACAAAACGTTAGAGTGTTTTATAAATATAATCGTTAAATCGTTGTAGTAATTATTTTTCAAAAATATGGTTAATGCATTGTGTATTGGTTTCTTTATCCGTATATATATAACATTGTATCTTCAAGATATTAAAACCAGATCATATTAAATGACCGCTACTTGTAGGCAATAACATCGGCATCGAACCGGACAGAATCAATTACCTTTGGTCGCTTCCATTGGAATTGAAACGGAGGCGTCTGATGGTAGAATACAGAAGTTTGCGCGGCTGGAAAATCGGGATCCTCCCATAATTCGCCACGCTTCACGCAAGCTCGTTTGATGCGGTCGTAATCACTCATTACCTGAAAATAAAATATAGAATGATATCAATAAACTACATTTTTCTGCAATCGACACTAATATATTAATAATAAATACTTGCATATTAACTAAAAATCTAACATAATGAACTAACGATTAAATGAAATATCAGTCTAAGAAGGCACTCGATTTTAACAGTTCCACGAAAAGTGGAGATAGTCAAATAAGTATGTATTAGATACATTATTAAATATCTTTATTTAAGCTATTAACCCAGTAACGGGTCTTTCCGTTTACAATAACAACTTTATAGTTTTTAACATATTCGTAATTATATAATGTATATGTTACCGGCAATCTGTATAATCCGGTATTCTATACAAAGCCTAGGCAATTTATTGAATACCTAAAACGTTTAGGTAATACATGAAATATTACTAATTTTATACTTTGCCTAGGTATTCTATAAAATACCGAATGCGAAGCCTGCAATGTGTGTAAAAGGCGAGAAAAGGGAATATCTTTGGTATATCTTTACCTCTCGATCATACTCATAACCTGGAGAGTGAAGAGGATCTAGAAAATGTGATTAAGTCATCACCAAGTATTCCCATTCCTTCAGAATCTTTAATATAGAGGTCAATCTCGAAGCTCTACATCAACAAAGTTCTGACACATGACTATCCGAAGTGCCGAGATTCTTAATGAACCTGCGAATGTTGAAGGTCTTCCTTCTGAGGTACATAGACAACTCTTAGATGTTCTAAATTTCGTATCAGAACGTGAGCAATCATTGGATTCCCCACTCTTGTGCTGTGTTTGTACTGAGGAGATAACGGGTGCTCATTCGTGTAGAACATGCAATAGACCCATTCATGCTATTTGTGCTGCCCCGAAGGAAGGTATGGCAGAAGGCTATGGTTCTAAAGTTGTTTGCCCATTATACTTAAAAACGCTTTAGCTGTAGAGAACTGCATCAGTTCCAAAGATAATTTAACAGAGCAAGCTCAGAAAATATTTAACACTTCTGAAAAAACAATTTCCCTTTGTACCATTGGGTATCACTGTAAGAATTCCTGTTCAGAAAGTCGACAGAGGTCATGGTGATGCTCCCAATATACTAATTGTAGTCTTACAAAAAACGGATGACGAATTTTATAAAATAGGAACAACGCAAGGTGTTGTAAAGAATTTGTATTCAAGACAGCACTTTACAGTTTGTCGTCAAGAACTACTTAAAAAAGAAGATGTCCCTAATCTAGAAACGACGCTCCGTACAGTTGCGAATCTGCAATTTACGGGGACAGGTCAGGGATTTATTAAAGGTACTTGCAAAAAACACTGTGATACTAAAAAGTGTTCATGTCTTAAAAGTAAGATTTTGTGCACTTCAAAATGTCACAATAGTTCGTCATGTAAGAATAAATAAATATATTTTTTTACATACTCAATTCTGAGAGGCCAGTAGATCTACTATTACTTGATTACTTATAAGATAAGCAAAAGACTTATGTCAGTTAACCCAGAAAAATTTTAAGTTTAATGTAATTTAATTGTGATTTTACTATGGTTACAGAAAGGTACTAGGTGCCTTTTTTTGTACAATAACTTATAGATTGTAAAAAAGTTTATTATGAGTAAAAATTGATAAATACAGACCAAAATCTATTTATTTTACACATTGCCGATCGACCAACAGGTACTCTATGTAATCCCTAAGAATTGTATACATTACCTAGGTAAAGTATCTAAGGGACAATAATCTACATAATATTTCATACATTGCCTAGACACCCCCGGTATTTTATACATTACCTAGGCATTGTATAGAGCACCTGAATTATATAGATTGACGGTAACATATACAATAAAATAAAATAAGATAATTATGTTTAATACACACGTGTCTGACATAGTTTGTCTAGGACGTCGAGCATGTTTTTTTCAGCTCTCTTCATTATTGTCTTGGTTAATTAGGTTTGGTGCGCATTCTTGTTATATGTCCGTAATCGAGCATTCCTTTATTGAATAAATGAAGAAATAAAAAATCCTTTATTGATGCTTAGTCCATTACAAAAATCATACATAGATCATTTAAACGAATAAAGGCGTCCGCTAGGCGTGAACGGATACACCACAAAAGCACCAAGGGGCTGCGCGTGGCACTGGTATGAACGGTAAGATTAGGTAAATTAACGCATTATAAACAGATGTATTCACAGTTATATCCAGCAGTGGTAAATTGTTGATAATAAATTTAGCAATCTCGATTGTATAAACTTGCCTAATATTAAAAACCTCAGTGAGTTCAAACAGTGCGTCCGATGGGAAGTCGCGCGGTTTACATGTCATAATTTTTAAAATAGTTTTCTAGGCAACCTCAACGTGAGTAAGAAGATAAGTCGAGGCATCTCTCCAAGCTAAGATACCGTATATCAACAAAGATTGGACTAAGGCATAATAAACCACTTTAAGAGAACTAATCGGTAGAATTTCACGTAGTTTCTTGAAAACATAGAATAGTTTTCGCAATCTAGCATACAGGTTATTTATATGATCCCCCCAACGGACACACTGATCAATCATGACACCAAGGTACTTGGTTGACCTGAGTCGGTTTATTTTATTTGAGCAAATGCATGCTTCTGGTTGGCATTTATCTGAGTGAAATGTTATTTCATTTATATTTGGTAAGTTAGGAGAATACTAAGAGAATGTAATGAAATAAGACTTCTTAATGTTAAGTGATAATTTATTTCTATTTAACCAAGCTTTTATTATTCGTAAATCGGATGAGGTTTGTTCAATCACACACTCTCATGATTCGCCCTCAACAAAGAGAACTGTGTCATCAGCATATGCAATCACCTCTGCGTAAAGATGAATATCAAATATATCATTTCTGTAAACTAGGAAGAGTAGAGGTCCCAAGACGGTGCCCTGCGGGACACTAAATGTCACAAGTTTCTCAGAACTAGCAACACCGTTTATATTAACTTGCTGATATCTCTCACTTAAGTAGTCCCTAAACAACTCAGGAGTGCTACCTCTACATCCACACATCTCCAGTTTATTTAAGAAAATGTCATGACTGTATCGAAAACTTTAGACAGATCTAGAAAGGTAGCTATGCAGGGCCTTCTTCTATCCAACGAGTAATGAATGAGTTGTGTTAAGCGCGAAACTGCATGATTTGTAGACCGCCCAGTTCTAATGCCATATTGATTTTTATTTAAGAAGTTATTTTTTTCAAGAAATGCAATAAAACGAGATTTAATTATTTTTTCAAATATGTTGGACAAATTGCTTAGTAACGATATGGGTCTATAGTTGGTCGGTTCAAGTTTACATCCATCTTTGTATATCGGGACAATTAATTAAAGCATCTATTAAAAATACAACATAAGGGTTTTTTAATAAACTGCGCGGTTTCTTTCAAAACAATGCTACTGATATCATTAATTGAGGCAGATGATTTATTTTTTAAAGTTTTGATAGCGTTAGTAATTTAATCCTCAGTGACAGGCAGTAGAAATAGAGAGTTTGAATTGTTAGTTGTTACCGGCAAATCACAGTGAATATCATTCTGAATGGTGGCAGATAATGTCGAACCAATGTCAGTAAAAAAATCATTAAAATGATTAGCAATTTCAACAGGTTCACTAATTGTTGTTACACGTCTTGTTATCTGAGTTATATTAGTAAGTTTTCTTTGCCTCCCTATGTATTAATTAGCCGTGTTCCAGGTATGTTGTATTTTAGTACTTTTATTAAATAAATTGATATGGTATTGAGTTTTTGTAATTTTTACGAGTTTAGGTATGTATTTTTTATAATGATTATATGTATTATAAATTATAAGTCAACGTTATTAGGTTTTAATTTTGTCATTTTGTATAATTTATCTCTTATGGATATTGATTTTATTATACCATTGGTTATCCATGGAGATCGTTTCTTGTTTTTGCTATTGGTTTTCCTATAGAAAGAGGATTGCTTTATAGATAAGTGAATGTATTTCAGGAAGTCTTCCATACATGCATCAACGTCAGAAGTGTCTTTAATAATATCTTCCCAGACAACCGACCCTAGAATATTCTTCAAGTTCTTGAAATTAATTATAGAGTCGGTCTTTTTTTAAATTTCTATAGAAATTGCCTGTCGAAAATCTTCTCCAGGGAAGACGATGCTGGCTAAGGTGGGATAATGATCAGAAATATGTCTAAACTTGTATTTAGTTTTGCTTATTAAACAAACCGGATTTGTCTAATGTCTCCATTTTGCGTTGTGTCGCGGATGGATGCGGTAACCAAAATAGAAATACTGTGTTGCTGGGGATGCTAATCTACCGGTATGCCTTGAAAGCCCCAAATATAAAAAGAGTGGCAGTGGTGTTTGCACAAACCGAAAAAAAAATTCGCAAGATAGAAATAATGGTAAAACCAGACCAGTACCTTGACATTATCAAACAGCATGCACTTGTAACTAATTTGCGTTTGAAACATTTATAAAACCTCCTGCTCAGTGGCACTTTAAATTTTAACCTACGTAGCGATTTATTTTAACAAGGTCCAAAAAACATGAGATTCTGATACAACACGAAGTTGCTTATAATTCAGAAGTTGGAGTTCAAAAAGTGTGATGAAACGAGAAAAGCAAATTAAAAACGTAAAGTTAATGGAGATATCACGAGGGAAGAAGATAAAAGATCAGAAGCACCAAGATGTAGATACAATACTAAAAAAAATATTATGGACTTAAATGGCGTGATATTGATTGCTTAGAACATTACAAAAATATAATACGCGATAACGAACTATTTGCGATGTTTCGGAAGAGTCCATTTGCGAAACACATGAAGAGATGCCACAACCCAATATCTAAATACAAAATTTCGAACTTGTATTGTTTTACTAAAATATTGTTATGTTTTTAGTTAGTTTTCCATTTAGTTAGTTACTATGTACTTCGTTACCAACGCTTATACGCTTCGTTAGTTATGTTGTTTACTGATTGGTAATCTTGGTACTGATTAAATATA